GGCAGATCTCTGTGAATTAGAGGCCAGCCTGGCTCTAGGGCAGCCAGGGATGCATGGGGAGGGGGGAGGGAGAGGAGGAGAGGAGAGGAAAAGGGAGGAGAGGAGAGGAGAAGGGAGGGGAGGGAAGGGTTAGCAGGGCTGTAACATCAGGAGGTCAAGGTCATCTTGCAGGTGGTGATTCTGAAGCCAGCCTAGGATTCACAAGACTTTGTCTCTAAATAAAAACAAAAAGGGCTGGAGAGGGCTCTGCAGATGGCACACCTACTGTTCTCCCAGCACCCACACCAGGAGGTTCACAACTGCCCTGAGCTGCAGCTCCAGGAGCCCCGACACTCGTCTGGCTTCTCTGCACACATGCAAGTAATTTTAAAAAGTAAAACATTTCAGAAAGACAAAAACACAATGTGAAAAGCCAGTGGAAGAAGCTAAGCATAATGGTTCGCGCCTTTATCCCAACACTTGGGAGGCTAAGGCAGGTGGAGGGCTGGGGCCAGCCAAGGCTACACAGGGAGTCTGAGGTCAGCCTGGGAAACAGTAATAGACTGTTTTAAAACAAAACAAAGTCAGTGGAACAATCAGTCTCTCTGTGCACTTTCTCAAAAGTTCTAAGAAAATAGACTCTAGGGTTTGTCATTGAAAAAAAAAATCCCCCTCTTGTTTTTAACAGTTGAAATCTCTGGCTCTATAGCACGTCATTTCCTGTCTCCTTCTCATAGATAAATATCATACAGTCATAATTCAGAAATTAATTAATGGTCATCCAAAAGTGTTCCCTAGTTACAATCAGGTGCTGCTTAGCTTACAGCAATCTGCCCTTGAACGCCACACTGCTCTAAAGTTTCCTGGTCCCCTGTGTGATTACCTTTATTACTGCAATCTCCATTCAGAAATCAGCAAACCCTCACCTGTTGCTTTTTAAAAGTCAGTGCTCACTACATGGTATCTCTCAGGCTGGTCTTCACACTCTCACCCTCTACACCACCCTAGCTACGAATGTTTTTATTTATTCCACATCCAACATAGGCATCATGCCTCATGTCAGCCTCTCCTTGTACTTCTATCACCATCTAATGGTTATCCATGGCGTACCCACAACCACTCACTGTCTACGCTTTGTCATCCAAAAGGTACAACCTCCAAGTGGAATACTCCAAATACTCTTGGTTTGAAGTCCCAGCCTGCATTTCCCCAAAGGACAGTTTTATACCATTACTCCCCAGCACCCAGCATCAGGTCCGGTCATCAGAGGTGTGCTGCACAGCCTTGCCACATCTGGCACACGGGTTAGCTGTGACTGATTACTCACAGCCAAAGCTCACACACTTCTTCAGGTCTCCAAGACCAGCTCACACCCTCCCTGGTCTTGTCCTGAGGAGCTCCCTGCAGTCTTCTGCCCGGTTCCCTAGGATGCTAAGGATTTGCCACCTCATCTCCTTCCTCCATGAGTGTCAGGAAATTGCCCTTACAGGCTCTTTAGATGTGTTGATATGGCTAGTCTGAAGACAGCCGAGCCAGGAGCTTAGAATGTATGCACTGGATTTCAAAGACAGTATGAAAAGAGGAAACAATATATGTCATTCAAATATTTATATGGATTAATACTGAAATGATATTTTGGATGTATCTGATTAAATGAGGTTGCTACTCATTGCACTATTTCTTCTATCTTTTTAATGTGGCTAGTGAAAGCCTTTAAGTTACATATATCTGTAAGTGGCTCGCCTGATATTTCTAGTAGTCAGCTGTCACTTTTTTGGGTTCTTTTTGGTGTGTACATGTGTGTGAGAGTGTGCAAGCACTTGTGTGTATAGAACCCAATATCTCAGCTATGTTAGGCAAGCACTCAACCACCCCACCCCTACTGACCTGTACTTAACCCTCCCTGCATGGTCAAATCTTCTCCTCTTTTTTTAGATTTATTTATTTATGTATACACTGTTCTGTATATAGGCCAGAAGAGAACACTAGATCTCATTAAAGATGGTTGTGAGCCACCATATGGTTGCTGGGAATTGAACTCAGGACCTCTGGAAGAGAAGCCAGGGCTCTTAACCTCTGAGCCACCTCTCCAGCCCAAATCCTCTCCTCTTTATCACTCCTATTAAAAGGCTGCCCCCTATTATCCCCACTGCTCCCCCACACTCCAAGCCTAGAGCTCTTTTCAATCTACCATTCTCAGTGCTTTTCCTACCCATCATTTCTTCACATAGTCCTTTTCTTTTATTATTTGTTAACATAGCTTTTACCCCTGCACTCAAATTATAATGATGTTCTGAGTTTTTTCTTAGTCAATTCTCAGATAGAGTGACATCTTCCTTAATTCTTAACCAACTGAAAAACTTTCCTGTAATTCCCAAGGTACAGAACTTTTTCATTCTCCAAATTGGCCTGTGTTCACTAGAAGTTTTCCTCTTTTCTTTTCTTTCTAAAGATAGGTCTTCAAGTCACCCAGGCTGTCCCAGGACATAACATACAGCTGGGGTTAGCGCCGAGCTCCTCTTCTGCCAGCCTAGCGATAGGTGCCACTACACCCAGCGGTTCTATAAGGTCATTCGAAGGGGCTAGCGATGATACATTAAATATTCAACAAGAGTGAATGAGCAACAACTTCAGCCCAAAGCCACCCACCCACCCATCCCCACCAGGAGAGCAGCGCCCCTCTGCCTTTGTAAATACTGTATCCCTTCCCAGACTCTCTCTCTGGGGTTCCTGTTCCATGCATGGTGGAGAACTCTCTCATCCCATCCCAAATACAGCTCCCAACGGTAGGCGACACTTCCCATCAGCCTCAGTAGCCACGTGCTGTCATTCCCTGGATGGAATTTATGCCCAACATTTTGGTAACTGCATTTTTTTCCTTCCCTCAGCACATCAAGGGGGAGCTCACAGCTGGGAGGGTAGGTGAGCGGTTGCTGGCACAGCTGGACGGAGGATGAAGACAGGTTCCAGTCCCTCTGAAGCCTGACTTCCTTAAGGCTCTCCCAGCAGCCACGGAGACAGTGCCACAGATCTTCCCAGGCTGGGGCACGACCTTCAGCACACTGTCAACACCTCCCCTCCAGGTCTCCTTCCCATTATATTGCCAACAAAGCCCTTCCCAGGAGCAGTGCTCACGGGTGGGCGCCTTTTCTTGTGGATTACATTTTCCCTAGACCAGGAAACCCGTTCTTCCTCACCAGCCCTCAGTCCTGAAACCCTGAACATCACTCCTGGTACCGAGACTCTCAGCATGCCCGGCGTTTTCATTTAGCTCTCTCCCAGCCCTCTGTGACAGAACTCTTCCCGTACACTCTTTCAGTGAAGCTGCTTACTCTTCATTTAGCCCCCAGTTCCTTTTTGAACAGACAACCCATCCCTATTCACAGCCTACAGTCTGTGTGCGTCCTCACCCCCTGCCCGTCATAGGTCACTCCTGTCTTCTCAGTGGTCCTCTTCCGTGTTTCTGTTGGTAGATTCAGTTTAAGAGTCAATGCTGGGTTTATTTCTGAAAAGACCCCCATTATACATTAGAGTGGAGAGAAAGGCAGGGACCCTGGCAGTGTGGATAAGCGGCTTGTTCTCCCGTGGTAAAGGCACACCCTGTCAGTTCTGCTACTCTTTGGGTCCCCTCCCACCTTCCCTCCAGCTTAAGGCTTTCTTCTGTGTGTCTGGCTCTGCCTGCAGGCCCCGTGGCCTCCACAGCATCTCTTCAGTAGCCAGCCCTGGTCTTTCCTGCTTTTGAACTATCCCAGTCTTTCCTTCTTAGGAGCCTCCTGCTGGTTTCCGCCCTTCCCAGTCTGCTCGGCCTGTCCTCTTGGCCTGAAGACATTGTCTCCTATCTCCAGGTGTTTCCTTGTTCTGCTTAGGGTCGAGGAGCCGGGGCTGCTCTGACTTCAGACCCTTATGGGTCAACCAGTCCGGAAAAGGAATTAACAACAGATGAATCCCCACAGCCAAAACGCCCAGAACCAAATCAAAACTGGAAGACAGGCTTTTTGACAGCCCCCACCGTCTGAGACAGTGCAGCCCCGTGGGCAGTTCCACAGCAGAAACCTGTCGCCAGGAACTGCCTGCCTGCCTGCTCTGGCCTACGACTCTTGGACCCTCTTCTTGCCCCAGCTATGGTCAGCCTCCAGACCCTTTGGGTCATTTCCTTTGGCTAAGCTGGGTGCCATGAACAGTTGAGCAGAAGTAGGCTCACCCCAGCGTGAGGGAAGTTTGAGCTCTGTATCCCCACACAGGCGATTTTTCTTAATTAGAACTCACCAGATTGCATAAGCTTTGATCTCTGCTCACCTTGCTCTGTCTGAATAGGAGAAAGCTTCAGGCTTTGGGATACTAGGGACAGGACAAGAGGACTTGGAGGGATGGATTCCGACCAGGGTCCGTCTCCGTGGAGACGGCTTCCTCCCAGGAAGCTTGAATGACCTGTCAGCCGAATCTCAGCAGGATCCTCAACTCATCCTCTTTATGCCACACCCAACTCTACCAGCCTTTAGCATCTCTAGTCCCGGCCTGCCACAGTCCAGCGCCCTACCTGGTTCTCCAATGTTTAGGTATAGTATAAACGAGAATGCAGAAGTGACCTCGCTAAGGTGAAGCCACAGGCTCATCAGACCCTCCTTTTGCCCTGCATCCACAAAGCCCGTGCCCACCATATGAGTGCTGAGAGGTCCGTGCAGAATGCGTCCCCACATTCTAAACTGACAGTTGCCCCAAGATTCTGTCACCGTGGGATCCTGCTGGGACCCTCAGGAATCCCATCCTTGAAAAGAGAAAAACGAAGGGATTCTGAAAAAGAGACAGGGCGAGCGAGGCTTGTGGACTCCAGCGTGCCCCACGCCCGTAAGGCTTCAGGCTCTCCGAGGCCAGAGCGGGGCTTTGGGACCCGGAGGTGTTGGGGACACCGCGCCCGAGCTGGGATCTGGCACTCCAGGGCTCCAAGCAGGTGGCAGGAGTTCTGAACCGGCCCCGGTCTGGGACTTCCTGACGGTCGAACCCGTGTCGGGCCCGGCACTTACCCGGCAGACTCGGGAAAGTCTCTGAGAAGTGCGGCGCCGGGGGTTCAGCCACTTTCTCGCGCGTCGGCAGCAGCTCGTCGGCGTCCAGCGCTCCCTCTGTGCGCCGGGCCGCCGGCTCGGGGTTGCTTCGCGAGGCGGTGGAGGCGGCGGCGGCGGCCGCGGCAAGCTCCGGGGGTCCGTAGTAGGCGTCCGGAGGCTCTGCGAAGCTGGGCAGCGCAGTGGTCAGCGCCACCATCGAGGGCACCGCCTGGCCCAGCCCGGCGCAGAAGGTATTACTCAGGCGGCCGGCGAATGAGGCGAGCGGGGCCAGCGGCGGCAGGCCGGCCGGCAGCGGCGCGGGGGCCAGCGCCTGTGGCAGCACGAGCGGCCGGTAGGGCATGAACATGGGGTAGCCCGTGTAGAGCAGGTGGCCGGAGCGCGGCGGCGGCGGCCCGATGAGAGAGTCGATGGAGAAGGCGGCGCCCGGGCCGCCGCTGCCCCCGCCGCCGCCCCCGGGGGCGCCGCTGCCCGCCGCTCTCTGCATGGCGCTGCCCGGGCCCCGCCGTGCGCCCCGCGCGGACACGCAGGGCTCGCTGCGGGCGCGCGGGCCGAGGTGGCGGCGGGGCGCGGGCTCGGCGCAGTGTGGCTCCGGCGCCGCGCTCCCTCGCTCATAAGGAGGGAGGGGGCGGGCGGGCGGGCTGGGGGTGTCGCCCTCCGGACTCATCCATCTTCCTCAAATTACGCTTCACTTGCTCCCTCCGCCCGCCGCCGCTCCCGGCTCCCGCGCCCCGAGCCCCGCGCCTTCCCAACGGCCCGGCCGGCCCGGGACCCCGCCCGCCCCCCGCGGCCCAACCAACTATTATTAATGCAGATTGATGAGGCCGGACCCGCCGCTTTGTGAAAGTTTGCAGCGGGCGAGGCGGCGGCGGCGGCAGCTGGCCAGGTTCCCTCCGTGGGCCCGGACCCGCTCCCGGCTCGGCGACGCTCGAAGGGCGAGCGGGGCGCGGCGGGGCGGGGGTGCGCGGGCGGCGAGGACGTCCTCCGGCCCGCATCCCACCCCGGGCGCGCCGCACCGCGGTCCCCAGGAGCCCGGACCCAGCGGGAGACAGCAGGGGGCGCGCTCTCCGCCCAGGGCCCCGTGCGCGCCTGGGGCCACTCGTGGGCGACCGCTTTCCTGCTGTCTTCCCAGCCCCTTCGCGCTCTCTGACCTGGACTCGATTCTCTAAGCGCTGACTCTTGCCCTTCTCCCTTTCTCCTCTATCTCCAGCTTCTCGCTTCTGTGGGAATTTCTGAGTGCCCACACTGGACCAAGTACTTACCCTTTCTTCACCTTTCCCTCCCCTCTCTCCCACTCTTAAGTCTTTTTCTTCCTCTCACCCTTCCCTCCTCTTTGGCCTCCCTAATTCCGATTCCTCTCTTTTTCATTCTCTATCCCAGTCTATTTTAATCTTATTTTCTCATTCCCTGCCTTTACCCATATCTCTTCTGTGTCAGTCTGTCTGTCTCTGATGCTCTCTCTCTCTCTCCCTCTATCTCCCTCTCCCTCTATCTCTCCCTCTCCCTCTCTCCATTAATTTCCCTGATTGGCTCCCTGGCTCCAGCGCGTCTGATGAGCCCTATTCATTCTCGGGCCTGACGCTCTCGACCTGCCCTGGCTGATTGCTGGGGGCTGGCCCCAGGAGCGCTGATGAGCCCCAAGGGTCAGCAGCGCTAATTATCTGCTAATTGCAGATGACTCTGCTCACCTCCCCCATTCCGCCTTTACTGTCCCCCTCCCCTGATTCCCAGCAGCAGATTTGTCGTTCTAGAGGCAGAAGTCATGGACTTTTGACTGCCTAAGCACCTCAGGTCAGTGAGTGAGAGAACCAGAGTGGCCCAAACCTGAGGTTGCAGAGGAAGCCTGGCCAACAAAAAGTGCAGCCTTTGGACTAGGAAACTGTTCAGGGGTCAGGGGGAGCCTGGTCGTTAGAGGAACAGAGCAAAGACAGACAAGTTCAATTAGATGCAGTTTAGGAGTGTGAGTGATCCTACTCGGGTGAAGAGGAAAACCTACCTACCACCCAGCTATAGAGCTGCAGGAGGGCGGACAGACTGCTGGTCTCAGTGACTTTTGTCCCAGGCGGCTGCTGTACTCTAAGAGCCTTGGGCAGCGCCCAGGAAGAAGGCGGGATTAAATGAGTCAGGCACCAAGAAGTTGGTTGTGATGGTCTCAGCCTGGGATGGGGAGTTCAAGGTCATCTTCAGCTCCACATTGAGTTCTAGACCAGTGTGAACCAGATCACAAGGGCTGCTGTGAGGCCCTGAGTGTGGTGGGGAGGTCATCGGTCTTCAGACTTCACAGAGAAATGAATGGAAGATGGCGCCATTCTATGCAGTCCTGTACAGACATACTCTGCAATCTACACTCGCCCAGTGAAAACGAGAGACACACTGGAGAGAAGATGCCACCTTGGGGAAAGAAGAGGTGGCTTGGCTTAGGTCACAACTCACAACAAAGAAGTAGAAAACACCAAAAGACAGTCTTCCAAACAACCCTGTTAAGTTAGTTAACCAAGCCCTGCACAGTACTGATAATGAAGACCAGATTTCAAAAGTGTATTGTACTTAAGAAGGGAGAGGTCAAGTACTTGGTTTGATGGCTTTACAGTGTTGGATACATAATAGAGGCTTATTGACTTGATGAATTATGGAGGGAACTTTGAGCTACAATTACTGCAATTAAAGCTGTATGAGCAGTTTCCGCACCAATCAAATAACACATGGAGAAGAGCCATTTTTTAAAAGTAATTGCATTCATTTTTTGCATAGGTAATAACATCACATCGAGCGAAATTTCAAAAGCTCCAAAGGACATATGTTGAAATATCTCTGTCCCAAAGCTCTGACAGTGAATGCACATACACTTCAACAAGCCTGCCTTTCTCTGTGGCACAGAATGGATTGTGCACTCTCGGGGCTCGAGGGTAAAGGCCTTCTGGTCTCAAAAATGTATATCACCTATCTGAAGTCAAGAGCTTATTGTCTAGCACTTATCCTTGGAGCGGTAGATTCCCCACTCAAGCTGGCAAAGAGGTGGAGGTTTATATTTTGGTACCAATGAATCCCAGTGGGCAACCTACTCAGAAGTGATGAGCTCAGTGACACCTGGGGGCTTTGTATTGACCTGGCATGTGTGCCAGATACTGAGCACTGTAACCCATTTATATCTTCAATCAGTCCCTTGCCCTGCTGGGGTCATGAAGAGTAGCTGCTCTGGTCTTTGATGTTTAGTAGCTAGTATCCCATGCTTAGGGGTGACTGCTGCAGCCCACGCTCTATCCCTGCCCTTGCATTCAGGGTATAACTGAGACCGCACAGTAAATGGGGAAGCATTGCTAGAGATAAAAAAGAAACAAACAAACAAACAAAGTTGGAAGCAAGTTCCAGCCCTCCCTAAGCCACATGGCCAAGGCACCTCCAACTTAACTTCTCTGTTTGAAAGAGGGAGCAAATCATCTACTCTGACTGCTTAAACAGCAAGGATTGCATGGGTACGAGGCAGAATGAGTTCTTCCTGCAGGGAACAAAGGAAGAGCATACCTGCCCAAGAGAGAAGGACTCACTCACCTTCCAGTCTGTAGACAGCACGTAGGATCCAGGAGAGATGCTGTTGCTATCAAACCATCAAATTTGAACAAAGCTGGCTCTTTACCAGCAGAAATGGGGACCTTGCTACTGAACCCCTGAACTAGTGTCTGGTCTTTCCTAAAATGGAACCATGGAGCTAGAGAGATGGGTCAGGCCTTAAAGATGGGTCAGGCTGCTCATTCAGAGGACATGGGTTCTGTTCCCAGCACCCACACGGCAGCTCTCAACCTTCAGTAACTTCATTATCAGGGAATCTGACCACCTCTTCTGACCTCCCTGGACACTAGGCATGCATGTGGATCACATATGTATATGTATTCAAAACACTCATATACACAGAAATAAAATTTAAAATGGAGCTGTGCATGTACTGTTAGTTGGCCTGCTCTCACCGTACACAGCTTTGGGAACTGTTCCTGAACAGGAATTAGTTTTTTTGCTTGTTTTCCTTTCTTTGTTGGAAATATGGTCCCAGATATGATTATGTACTTATTTGGTTTTTAAAAACAGGGCATGTGGGCAGGTGGAGGGTTGGCACACAACTTTAATCTCGTAGGCAGAGGCAGGAGGATCTCTGTAAGTTTGAGGCCAGCCTGGTCTACAAAGTAAGTTCCATGACAGCCAGGGCTTCACGGTGAAACCCTGTCTCAAAACAAAGCAAAACAAAAACCAGCAAAATAAAAGCAAAACAGGGCTTACGTGGCCTGGCTGACCTAATTCTTGCTATATAGACCAGACTGGACTCAAACTCACAGAGATCCCACCTGCAGGTATGCTTCTTTACAAGTGGATAAATAATTTGCTATGCCCTCTCTGCTTGGTCTATGTCAGGTCTCATCTTCTGGCCTCTCATTCATGTCGGTGTATCTCTGACTCACTCAGGCGGGAGCGAGAGCTTCCCACTGTGGGCCACGTCGATTTCTGTCCGCGAGTACCCTCTGGTGGCACTAGGACGCAACTACAGTCATCGCGAGGGAGGTGCGGAGTACCACAGCGCCCCCTGGCGTTAGTCAAGAGAGGCGCCGAGGGCAAAGGGACTAGAGCCAGGCAAGAGGTTCAAGCTTCAGAGCGCGTCTTACTCCACAATGAGTGCGGGATTGGGGTGGGAATTGTACACGAGTATCTTGAACTCTCGTGTGCATGCATGAAGGTTTGTGCATCTTTATTGTGTCAGGGCTCTCGAATTCTGTGTATCTGTTATGTTGAATGTGTGGTTTGTGTGAGCCCACCCGTTCACAGGCGGATAGGTTGGTGGTAGGGAGGTCCGCGCCTCCAGTGCAGGGCGGAGTCCTCACGGAGGCGTGAAATTGGTTTGGAGCAAACACATTATGGAAAGCAATTACCAGGGAGAGGTTCTGGGCCCGCGGGACCATCAGCCAGGAGGCTGGGGAGGAAGCTCCTGGCTTGCAAGTGTCTGGATGTCTAACCCAGAAAGGGCCTTCCTTAACACTGCTCTTCATTAAGGGACAAGGCATGAGGCCAGGCACAGCCTCTTCAAACCAAGCACTCCACACCCCCTTTCTTGTCGCCCCTTCTCAGCTCCGTGAAAAGAAGCCCCACACCCTGTACTTGGCATGCCCAGCAGAAGAACCTCTGGTGCTCCAGCCTCTTCGTGGGGCCTTCCTTCTCAATCATTCTCGGCCCCACACCTTGCTCTTGGCATTTTAGTTCACATGTGTCCCGTGAGGGTGGTTTGATGATATTGATAACTCTGAGGGCGGGGCCATGTCTCAGAGCCTGTGTTTACCACCTTAACCCCAGCCGTGTGTGGAAGGGATCAAACAGAACCCGGAAACAGGATGCAGAGTCAGTTGCCCCTGGGCAACAAGGTCCTCTTGAAATCATGTACTTCAAATTCATTGGTCCATTAGATGTCTTTGAGACGTCTAACAGGTAAATCTGGCTAACACAGACCTTTCTACTTCCCTCGCCTTGGTAATTAGTATCACCACCCACCTAGTTGTTTAAGCCACAACAAAACAAAACGGTGAGGCACTCTGGGTGAGTCCCACACATCCTCAACAGCAAGCACTACCCATCCCCCCAAGGACTTCCAAAGCTACTCCTCCGGCTCACCCCAGGATGACTGCTGTAGCCTCCAGTTGGCCTTCTGGATTCTCTAAGCTTCCCCCACTCAAACCAGCTGCTTACAGCTGGGCAGCTTGAGGGACACTGGCCCGGTGGTTATTCCCATTCCCCCACATTCTACTTACATGCTGGCTCCCCCCCCCAGATGCCCCCCCCCCCCGTCATTCTGATCGCTGGTTAAATGCCGACCTCCTCAAAGAGTAGGTTTCCCTGTCACTGAATCCAAAATAACTTCCTGTCGCCGTCACAGTGTTAGCATCGTTTCTACACTTAGTACTGTGTGCAACTTTCTCTTGTTTGTCTAGTGTTTTCAGCAGAGTAGTGGGGACAGAAGGCTAGCCCCGGTGTCCCCTGCAGCCTTGTGCCTGCCCAGCCTAGAACACAGGAGGCACAGCAGTTATGAGCAAACAAATGAACTCGGGACATTCTTTAGGATCCCTCATCTCCGGGATGACACAGGGTCTCCCAGAGAAGTCCCTGCAGGTCCTTTACCTTCTGTAGCCGGTTCCCTGTCAACACTTGGAAATCATCTTCCGGTCCCAACCTTTATCCTTGCAAAACACAAGCCTGCAGGGGACCAGCCGGCCAGGCATTTCCTCGGCCGAGGGTGCCCTGGACCCTCTTGATCACAGCAGATGCCACTCATCAGTCTTCCAGTCACGTGCTCACATCTGAAATCCAGGCTGGTGGGGAGGCCAGTCCACCCACCTCCAGTCCACTGGCCTCTACAGCCTTCCGGGCCCCTCCTCCAGGTCCCTCCCCACACAGTCTGGCTACCTGGAGCTGGCTGGAAAAGTGCTCTCAAGCCTGGGAATTCTGTCCAGTGGCCCTTGACATCAGGAACCACAGCACACTTACTTGACGCTCTGCAGCTGGGTTGCCCCGGCCGCTGCTGGCTGCCGCAGCTCCAGTTTGTAGGGTCCTGGTACTGCAGTGTGAGCAGTGGCATGGAGGGTCTATTGTTTTACAGAAGAAGAAGAAGCTTGCATCTAGGGGAGGAGGGTTTTTTTGTTCCACAACAAGCTAATGACACTTGAGAGTAGAACCCAACCTTGGTGACAACTCCACACTCTTGCTACCACAAAGCTATGTTTAAAGAATCTGATTAATGCTGGTGGCACACACCTTTAATCCCAGCACTCCAGAGGCAGAGGCGTGCAGATTTCTGTGAGTTCAAGGCCAGCATGGTCTAGAAAGTGAGTTCCAGGACAGCCAGAGTTACATAGAAAAACTCTTGTCTCAAAAAAAAAGGCAGATTAAAGGTGCTGAAGGGAGTCAGGCAGTGGTGGTGCATGCCTTTAATCCCAGCACTCTGGAGGCAAAGGCAGGCAGAATTTTGTGAGTTCGAGACCAGCCTGGTCCCCCTCCTGCCTCTACTTCCCAAGGGCTAAGATAACATCTGCACCATTATTCTGGAGATAGATTCCCAGTGCACACACAGGTTTGCATCAGTATCAGCTGGATGCTCATCTGTTTTCCTCTATCAACTGTGGATCCAGGCATCCGTTCCGGACTTGAAGATGGACCTGGTGCTGGCAGGATGACCTTACTTGAGTCAGGTGCCCCTTGTGGAGTCTGATTCGTTCCCACACCACTGCACACCTGAAGGAGACACACGGAATCAAAGAACTCCAGTGGCCCTGGAAGCAGCTGCTTCAGGCCAGAGCCATCCTCCAGCTCGTTTGCTGTCCCCAGAAGTCAGGGCTCACCTAGTAAAGCACGTCCTCGAACTCCAGCTGCAGGTAACGGAGCAGGCTGGATGGCAGGGGAAGCCGCGGCAGTGCCTGGGGCAGACTACCTTCCAGGTGACAGCGGAGTGCACAGCGGCTGAGATGCTGCAGCGACCTGGGCTGCCTCACCAGGGCAAAGAGGGAAGTGTAGAACCCATGGTGCTTCTGGGGACAGGAGGAGAGACTCAGTGAGAACACCCTTGACTAGCCAGCGCCCACTTCTTCTAACAGGGACAGGATGGCGACCACTGGGAGCATCTCCCAAGGACCCCATAAAAACCCTCAGAAATGACTCCAGAAGGCATATTTTTCTAGGACATGTGTGGGCTGCTGGGTAATTTCTATGGAAGACTGACAAGGCTGCCCCTTAGGGAATGGTGTCTCTCAGGGTCAAGCTGGGTAACGTGTTCTGGGTCCTGGACACTGACCTGCACAATTTCAGGTGGTACCAATCTCCTGGACTCCTCAGGAAGCTGTACCACACAGTAAGTGTTCATCAGGACCTCGATGGTCCTGGGGGACACGCACCAGCGCTCTAGCACCTGCAAGAAAGAGATTCATCAGGGAATTCTATCAGGCCACGAAGATGATTCCATGACAGTTGTAGAGTCAACTTTCTCCCCCAAACACACTCAAGCTCTAACATCTGATCTGTATGTGATCTCAATTGAAAATGAGGTCTTATTTACTTGATTCTATTTTTATTTGCTTATTTAACTTGAAAGGTTTTTATATTTGCACATTTATGCACATGAATGTTTTGGCTGTATGTATTTCTGTGCATCACATGTGTGCACTGCCTGTGGAGGCCAGAAGAGAGCATTTGATCCCCTGAAACCTGAATTAGAGGTGGTTGTGAGCTGTCATGTGGATGCTGGGACTCAAACCCAGGTCCTTTAAATGATCAGCAAGTGTTTTTAACTGCCGAGCTGCCTTTCCAGACCCTTTTTATTTGCTCATTGAGACAGGGTCTTGCTATATAGCCATGGCTCACCTCAAACTTGTTATGTATACAGGCTGACCTCAAATTCACAGAGATCAACCTGCCTTTGCTTCCCAAGTGCTGGGCTTAAAGATGTGTGCCTCGTGCTTGGCAAACTTTTATTATTTATTTATTTATTCACTATTTATTATTTGTCTTATATGTCTGTGAGTGTGTGCTAGTTTGTGGGTGTAGGGAGAGATCACGTACCTACATCTGACCACACCCCCTTGGGTCGTGGTCACGGGTACGTGGGAGGATTCAGGAGATAAGACATGGCAGAAGAGGGGGCGCTCTCTCTCTGAGATCCTGGCCTTGGTTCGGAGACCATACAGCACTGCTCCAACTTTTCGTTTAGACCTCTTTCCCCAATTTTAGTTACGTGGATCTGTCCCAGCTTCATGTGGGTGCCTGCAGAGGCTGAAGAAAGGGTCAGATCCCATGGAACTGAAGTTACAGGCTGTTGTAAGCCACACAGTATGGCACTTGGTTGGAGCAGCGCCAGAAAATCAGCAACTGTTTCTCGTGTTCGCATGGCTTGTGCCAGATTCTTTTCCTATCCGTTTGCAGGCATTGACCCCCGATCCTCACTCCTACAAGATACGGACTGGACTGTCATTGTCCCCAAATTATAAGTGAGGGAAATTGAGGCATGAAGAAGTTACAGATCCATCTGGGTGGTGGTGACACATGCCTTTAATCCCAGCACTCGGGAGGCAGAGGCAGGCAGATCTCTGTGAGTTCAAGGCCAGCCTGGTCTATCTACAGAGTGAGTTCCAAGACAGGCTCCAAAGCCACACAGAGAAATCCTACTCAAAACAAAAACAAACAAACAAACAAAAAGTTAACGAAGCTTAGCTGGATTGCAGTGTCAGCAGGCATGCCTGGCACGGTGGCTCTCGGCTACCAACTACTACATTGCCCTGTTCTCCCACTCGCCTCTCCCGGGCTCTGCCCTGGATTTTTCTGCAGGAGAAAAAGTAGCCCTTGGCCTGGCCATGGGCTCCTGATCAGATGAAGACGAGTGGTAGAGGGCTCGCCTTGCGTGCACCAAGTCTTTGACTCGGTTGTAAGTGCCATATAAACTTGGCGTGGGGTGCAGGCTAGTCGTCCTTGCACTGAGGAGGCAGAGGCAGAAGGATTAGAAGGTCAAGGTCATTTTGGCTACACAGAGAGTTTGAAGCCTGTTTGGGCTACGGAGACCCTTTTCATAGAAACAAAAGTCTTAACTGGAGAGATGCCTCCGCGGTTAACAGCACTTGCTGCTCTTGAAGAGGACACATGCAGCATTTACATGGCATCTCACAACCACTGTAACTACAGTTCCAAGGAATCCAACATCCTCCTCTGGCTTCTGTGGACACCAGGCATATATGTGGTACACAGACAAACATGCAGGCAAAATACTCATACACATAAGAATGTTTTAAGTTAAAAAAAATCAGACATGGCGGCACACGCCTTTAATCCCAGCACTCAGAGGTATTGAGACTTCATTCGCTATCTCCCTGGGGAGTATTTCCACACATATCCTGTACCTACACCACTGGTTCACCGGGACCCTGGAAACTGCTGCTTCTCGGAAGAGCGCCAGTGAGCAGTGGAGACAGGTGGAAGGATCTTGTTCAGGCACAGGGGACCCTGGAGACAGCATTGTATTGGCCCAGGGCCTCCATTCCCTGTCCCAGCTCTGGGCAGTGCTTATCACAGACATCTCAGCCTAGCCTGCCCGGACTTCACACTGCTGTTTCCTCCCTCTCTCCAAGGAGTCCCTGTGCCAAGTCCCGCCTCCAGGAAGCCCAGGCAGTCCTCCAGCCCTCACTGAGGCTGTGCCAGCGAGTCTAGCCCTCTCCCTTGCCTCAGCACTCTGTGTATTGGTGCGATTCCTGCCTGCTTAGAAAGAGCGTCCTCATGCATCCACCGCATCCCAGAACACCAGCTAACTCACCCTGAGCACCGTGCGTGGGCCACACCCTCTTCTAAGGTAACACCTGTGAACCATATTTCCTACATTAACTCTAGGATGTAGGGAACACCCCCCCCCCCGCCCAAACACACACTTTTATTTTTCAAAAGATGAGGAAACAGCCACAGGAAGAGGGCACAACTTGCACACAGTGTGCCCGGTATCGGAGCCTGCTCTTTTCACGTTCACCAGGCTTGAAGGACGTTGGCGGCTGAGCAACCCAGTGTGCACTGTTTGGTAGCTGCTGGCCCTCTCTGTGCTATGACAACTTTCCACCCCCTTCAGCTGAGGTGATGCCATGATAGGAGCTTGGGAGCCAAAGACTTGCATACAGCCACACAAACAAGTGCCAAAGTCAGAGCCCGTTCAGGTCTCCAGCATCAAGCCCAAGGCATCAGTCTTCTGGAGAAATGCTGAGGCTGGCAAGCCACAGAGATAGTCACAGAGGCATCCCCGCTGGGAGGGATGGCACTCTAGCCAAGGCTAGAGGGGCTGTAGATTGTGAGAAAGGGACAAACGGTGTCCTTTACTCTACAGTCACCCTTTTGCCTGAGACAGCTGAGGGCTGGAGCGGTCTGGTAAGGGCAGGTGAAGGGGCAGAGGCAGGGGTCTGGGAATGTCTGTCTGCTGCTGTACCAGGTCCTTCCTGCCCGCCTGGCGGGGAAATCATTAGCTGTCAGAACCACAGTCAGATTATAGGGAATTGCTCGTCTCCTAATTATCTGGTGTTAATAGGAGATTAATTAGTGTTAATTGTTGATTTTCTTGTATTTTCCCAAAGGGGAGACCAATCTGCCGAACTCTCGGGCTGTTTAATTATTTGGTCTTGCTTAGGAATCCAGACAGATGCTGCTAGGTCTGTGAGCAAAGGGGAGAGGCAGGGACAACAGGAATGACTCAGGGGAGGAGGGCTGGGCTAGTGGGGACCTGCCCATAGCTGGCACCCTCCTAGACGGCCAATTTAGCTTTGACATATGCCCTTTGAGAATAACTGTCTCCACTCCAGGCCTAGCAGCCTCTATGTTGCAACGTAGCTCAACGTGACATGGGACCAAGCCCCTTCCCAGGGCACCTTAACCCGGAATCTCAAGTAGAACTCACTTCAGGACGCTGAGAAGAGACAAAACTGGGAGGTGACGGAGGGTAGTGGCAGCTAGCTGGCAGGGGTGGGGTGTGCTAACTTTCAGAGAGCAGGGTTGTGTTCCTTTGCAGATGCTCAGAGCAGATTCAAGTTCTGTCCTCAGGGAGACTAGCCCAGGCCCAGGGCACATTTTGCTCAGCTGATCCAGCTGCTACCTCAGAGCTCTCCAAACTCTGTCTTCCTCGACTCAGGCCCGAGCAAAGCCCATCCCCAAATCTCCGTGGCTCCCCTCATTGATCCTGGCTCTTCTGTCCCTTCCTGTCTTCTGTGACTGTTCCACTGCCCTCAGTTCACCTTCAAGTACACACACACACACACCACACACACTCACACACCACACACACTCACACACCACACACACACCACACACATACACACTCACACACCACACGCACTCACACACACTCACTCACACTCACACACCACACACACTCACACACCACACACATACACACTCACACACTCACACACCACACACACTCACACACACTCACTCACACACCACACACACCACACACATACACACTCACACACCACACATACTCACACACCACACACACTCACTCACATACACACCACACACACTTACACACCACACACATACACACTCACACACTCACACACCACACACATGCACACACACTCACACACTCACACTCACACACCACACACATGCACACACACTCACACACTCACACACCACACACACACACACACACACCATTGCTGTTGCTGCTTGTACTCCTTATACTTAGGTCTTACTTATTGTTGAATGAAAGAAGAAACTAATCTATCTGCTCAAGTGCTCCAAGTTGCTTTGAGAAGCAAACAGGACACAGGGCTAGCTCTCCTGGTCCCCACACCACAATGACCTTCTCCCTGCTTTCAGCCCCATGCCCCTGTACCTTGGGGAGTGCCCCTGGCCAGACTCGGACAGCACCATGGTTGAGTAGAGCTCGCACCGTGTGCTCGGGGCTGTGGGCCAGGGCTGTAGCTGGACCTTGCAGAGCACAGTGCAGAGGTGTATGTCCCCCATAGTCCATGGCATTAGCACTGACACCGCAGGACAGGAGCAGCTCCACGACAGCCGAATGGCCGTGGCGGCAGGCCAGGTGCAGGGGCCGCTGCTTGTCCTGGTTAGCAGCATCAGCATCTGCCCCAACTGAGAGCAGCAAGCTGCACAGTTGGAAACAGCGGGTGGTGGTGGCCTCAGCATCCCTGGGGGATTGACAGCGGGCATCACAGGCAGCCAGCAGTGGCGTCCAACCTTCCGCATTGCGGGCATCAGGACATGCACCCCATCTTAGAAGCAGGTCTGCTAGTTCAACATGGCCAAGCCGGGCAGCTACGTGCAAAGGAGTCTCTTCTTCATCCTCAGACCGACCATCCACGTGGGCCCCAAACTTCAGGAGCAACTCCACACACCTAATCAGGGAGAGATAGCAGGCAAGGAAAGTGGCAACAAGGCTACATTTCTGCTGGTCTGAGCACAGCAAATACACTGGGGACTATGGGGATCTCATGGCTCTGCACCCTCCTTCCATCCAGGCTTCCCCAGAAATAGGAGCAGACACAGCAGTGGTCCGGACCCTCTGTGCTCTCCAGCTCCTGAGCTCAGATGATCTCTTGTCTGTGCCTCCAAGTTTTGGGATTACAGGCACCAGCCATTGCAGCCCATGGTGTGTGTGTGTGTGTGCCTGTGTGTGTGTGCCTGTGCGTGCGTGCCTGTGTGTGTGTGTGTGTGTGTGTGTGTGCGTGTGTGTGTGTATGTATACATGCACTCAAAGGCATTAGGCCCCCTGAAGCTAGAGTTATTGGCAGTTGTGAGCTGCTTGATATGGGTGCTGGGAATCTAACTCTGGTCTCTGCAAAAACAGTACGTGCTCTTAACTGCTGAGCCATCTCTTCAGCCCCAGCATAGTGGCCTTAAAACCAAACCCTCAGGGACTGGAGAGATAGCTTAGCAATCAGGAACACTGGCTGCTCTCCCAGAGGACCCAGGTTCAATTCCCAGCACTCATCCAAACTCCAGCTCTAGGAAATCCTACAGTCTTCTTCTGACCTCCTTAGGCACCAGACACATATGTGGTACTCATACATATATGTAGGCAAAACATACACATAAAATAATCGTTAAAACCCAAACCAAACCCTAATTCTTCCTGTAGGAATGTTCCCCCACATCCTCATGAGAATACAAGTCACAAGAAGTCACCATATGGTTGGAATGTGTTCCTCGGATGGCCCAGCCTCAGTGCCCTGTACTCTATTACTCTCACATCCCAGGGGACACCCAGGCTGCAAGGACTTGGAGACCTTGCCTAGGCTTATGTACCAGTAAGAGATGCAGCTGACGGGACTCAGCAATTAAGAGCGCTGGCTGCTTTTCCAGAAGACACTTGTTTGGTTCCCCACACCCATGTAGTACCACCACACGTGGCATGGAAATTTTTATATTATATGCATCTTACTGCAATTACCTATTTAATTTTTTTTTTTTTGGTTTTTCGAGACAGGGTTTCTTTGTGGCTTTGGAGGCTGTCCTGGAACTCACTCTGTAGACCAGGCTGGCCTCGAACTCACAGAGATCACCTGCCTCTGCCTCCCGAGTGCTGGGATTAAAGGCGTGCGCCACCAACGCCCGGCACCTATTTAATTTTTTGGTAAGGCTTCTAGGTAACTTTAAATTACATCCATGTTCACTTGTTCTCTTTCTCTCAGTCTCTGTTTTTTTGTTTTTTGTTTTGTTTTTGAGACAAGGTTTGACCTGAAACTTGCTATACTGTCCTAAAAGTCCTAAAGCCACTATGTAGCCAAGGATGATCTTGAAATCCAGCTCCTCCTGCCTGCATGTCCTAGAGCTAGTATTATGTGTGTATGCCACTATGCCTTGACTCACTTTAGATTTCTATTGGACTGTGCTGGTATGGACCATTTCTTCTACTGTAATGTGACTAACCCCATGTAACCCTCTGGGGGTGAGTGAGCTTAACAAGGGAACAAGGTCCATAGGAGGCCCAATGCGTGACTTGTCTCTTTCTGCAGGGCATGCAGTCACGGCGGGAACTCATGGGGTTTCCAAGGCCCCTTCTGTTCAGATCCCATGGTGACTACAAAGTAGGGTCTCATCCTCTCAGGGTCCTGAGTCACAGGTCACAATTACTTAGGTCAACACAAACGAACATTTCCCTTGGAAGATGAATCACAGACATAATCGGATGTGCCAGTAAATTTCTTATGAGCTTAACTTGGTTCTTCTGTTGTGCTTGGGATGGGACCCTGGGCTCTGGGAAGCATGAGCAAGCTCTGCACGACTGAGCCTCATGCCAGCCCTTGAACTTCCAGCCCTTTCCCCTCAGTGTGCAGCCAAGGATGGCTGTGAATCCCTAAAACTCCTCTCCCCCTCTCTCATGATGCTGCCATTGCAATCCCACACCACAAAGCCTGGTCCTTAAGCTGTTCTTGAGCCCATAGATGTGAGCCCACCCTGCTGAAACGAGAATCCAGCCTGCCACTGGGACTCACTCAGTCTCTTATAGTCTGTTTAGGCTATAGGACCACAGGTTCCCTGAGGATAGAACCATGCTTCACACAATGCCCAGGACATCAGATGGGCAAGGGAAACATTAAACTTTTACGGCAACGCTATCTTCTTCATTACTAAGCTGGCCAGAGCCCTCAGTGAAGGCCATGAGGCTGGGTCCCTACTCCGGCTCCTCACTCTTTCCCAGGGGAGCAGAAAGAAACATCCCAAGCTGGTGCTGCTACAGCTTAACTGGGACCAATGGATGTCTTGGGAATGAAGGCGTATTGACCCCGCCAGCACATCCTGCCCCCTTGAGAGTGGGTCCAGGATGAGAGGTCACTCACTCAAGGATACCAGGGCCCCAACAGAGATGCAAAGGGCGTTTCCCATCCTGGTCAGGGGTGTTCGGGTCCGCTCCCGCCACCAGCAGCACATGGACGCAGGCGGTGTGACCTGCGGTACAGGCTTCATGCAGGGCAGTGCGGCCCCCGGGGGCACTGTCTGGCTTTGCTCGACGCCTCAAGAGCAACCTGAGAACTTCAGTGTGGCCACGGCTGGCAGCCACGTGCAGCGGAGTGGTCAGCTCCTCTTCATACGTCAGAGACCAGAGTCCTAGGGGGAGAGAGTCACAGGCCTCAGATCCCAGGGATGGCAAAGAGCCACCAGGCAGATGAAGACGACAGAGGTGGAATGAAAGAACCCTCTCCCGCTCAGACCCGTCCATGCCCCACCCATACTCAGAGCACGGATGTTGAAGCGGAAATCTCTCCATCGCTCTGGGTCGCTGGTATCAAAGATCGAGTCTGGAGCCAGGCCAGTGCTGGAGTCTGCGAGGATTTGAGAGACAGAGCCCACGTCCCCAGCCAGCACTGCCTGCCAGAAGGCAAGGGCAGGTCCTGAAGCCGTTCGGGTGATGATAGGTCCCAGGCCAGGCTCAAGGTGCTCCTCAGACCCTCTGTCAGGCTTCTCCACCAGCCTGGCACAGAGGGTGTGTCTGCCACCCTGAGGCTCTTCCTGGCCCCTGCACTCCTCTGGGGACCAGCTCATGAGCACACGAGAAAGGGAGAGGACCAGAGGGGCAAAGGAAGGGGCTGTAGGTGGAGAGATGAAAGGAGGGGAGCACAGGCAGAGGGGGCAGAGGCCCCGTGTCCCTCGCTGGAGCCTGACCTGGCTGCAATGTGCAGCAGGAGCTATTCTGGGATCCACATGACTTCTATCTTGGGCCAAGGTCTAGATTGTTGGGAAAGTTTAGGGTGGGGGAACAGCAGCTAGGGACTTCAGCTTGCCCGCGGTCCTTGGGACCTCTGTTCCTGAGGCAGCCAGCCCAGCTCCCATCTCAGGCCTCCCTACCCCCAGCTGCCCCTCACCCCTCTGGTGGCTGCTCCAGCGAGGCTCAGCTGCCCGGCTCTCCAGCAGCAGGTCAGCAGTGCTGTGTGGGGGGAACAGGTCCTGCAGCCTTGCCAGGTCCCCCGTGTACAGTGCGTTCTGCAGAGCCATGTCACGGCACAGCAGTGGTGATGACCGAGGGGTCCTCCAGGCTGAGTAGGACTGAGCTCTCCAGATCTGGCAGGTAGGGGCAGAGGGGAGGCACCCCAGATGGTGTCTTCTGTGGGGAGGGGAGCTCCTTCCCCCAGGCATGGCTGGTTTCTAGGAGAAGGGAACAAAGGAGCAAGACTTGAGCCACGCTGAATCCCAGCCAGGAAGAGTCCAGTGTGGGAGGAGCAAGAGAGCCCCAAGCCAGCTGTAAATAGCTCTGGGCTCTGAGCCCCTGGTAGAATGTTCCTGCTGCAGAGAGGAGAGAGGGGCAGAGCAGAGTGGTGGGAAGGCAGCCCTGAGCTCCACCCCCATGGCTGAATGGTGTCAAGGTTGATGCTCCAAGCCACTGCATCACAGACAGGAAAAGGTTCCAGAGAAGGAGACTGTGTGCCTAGGGACACACAGGTAACTTGCCCCCAAGCCAGGACTGGGCCTAAGGTTCTTCTTGCCTGGTCGGCTCCAGACGCCTAGTATGTGACTTCAAGGGAGGCTGCTGATCCCTGTTCCTCGAATAAAACCTTCTACTCCTAAACCCTAAGGAACCTGACAGAAATGAGCATCAGAGACTCTCAGGGGTTCTCTGGAAGACAGACTTCTGTCCAGGAAAACAAGGTCAGTCCTCAGGCAGCAACAGAATCACTCCCACATCCATCCCAGCTGCTGACTCCCACTCCCGTGCCCACCGCCCATCTCAAGTTCTGGCCTCCCATCCATGCTTGGTGCCAGCCCCCCATACACATCCCAGGCACCAGCTTCTCCTGCCCATCTCAGGTGCCAGCTTCACTCGCTGGATGACTCCCAGCCATGGCACCTGTACCCCTCCACAATGGTAGTCTTAGCTGGAAGTGACATAGGAAACCATTCAGCCCAGAAAATGGAGACTGCTTTTGTTGAGGAAGGCGGGGAGAAAGCAAAGCAAGTGAAGCTGTTGAGTCTGCCTGCTGTGGGCTCTGGGCTCTCTCCTGGTCTGTCTCACACTGAAGAGGCACTGACTTGACTTTTCTCAGACCTGTGCTGATATATTATTTATGATTAAATAAAGCTTGCCTGAGGGTTCAGAATGCAAAGCAAGCTACAAGCCCCAGATGTCAGGCAGTGGTGATACACATCTTTAATCCCAGCAGCCATACTAGCTAGTCCTAGAGCTAGGCGGTGGTGGCACACACCTTTAATCCCGGGACTCAGAAGACAGGCAGATGGATCTCTGTAAATTCAAGGCCACACTGAGATACATGAAAGTGATCCAGTCCTAAAGAGAAACAGCTCACACAAAGGTGATCTCAGCACTTGGGATCACACGCCTCTAATCCCAGCACTTGAGGTATATAAAATAGGAGCAGATATTTGGTCTGGGGCATTTTGGTCTCTAGCTACATTTGGGCAGTTAGTCTCCAGTCACATTGAGGGCAGGATTGCTTCAGCCTAGGTAGAGGTTAGAGCTACTGGCTTCGCTGCTTTGCCTATCTGACCATCTGACCAGCTTGAACCCCAATATCTGCCACTGGGTTTTTATTTTTCCAGGTCACACAGGTGCTTTGTACAAGGTTGGCATGTCTGCCTTCTGAGAAAGCACTTGTGTCTGCTTTAGCCCTTGCTGACACAGCAGTCCTGGCCTCTTGAGTCTCCCACCCACTAGGAGGAGTCTTTGTAGGAAAGAAGATGTAATAGTTACTTTTCTCCTTGCAGTGACAAAACAAAAACAAAAAGCCACTGTTATGCCAAGTTCATGAGACCCCAAAAAAGGCCACCAAAGAGCAGACTCACTGATTCAAACACATAAGGTTTAATGTCACAAGCCTCTGCAGGGACCCTGTCCAGCAAATCGGCACAGCAACTGCAGGAAAAGGCTGCCTGGCCTCAACTGTAAGGAGTTTTTAAAGGAAAAAAAACTCAAGTAGGGTGGTACATGCCTTACTGTTCAGGATCGGGTAAGAGTAGGTGACCTTTGGATTCACTGACGTGGGGGCTAGGGGTGTTAAGGGAAGCTTTTTCTTTGAGAGGAGCCTTCCAGCCCACCTGGTTCCAGATCGGCATCAGTCCCAAATAAACACACAGGAGGCTATATTAATTATGAAGCTGTTGGCCTTGTTTGTTTCTTACTGGCTACCTCTGCCTTAAGTAATTACCCCATAATTGTTAATCTAAGTATTTCTCTTACCGGAGAATAGTCCTGGGCTTCCTACCCCCATGGCGTTACATCTCGAACTCTCCTGTGTTTCTCCTTCCCAGAATCCTCCTGGACTCCTAGCCCCACCTATCTAGATTCCTATTGGCCAGCAGTAATTTATTGACATATACACAGGACTTCCCCAACATCTCCTCTTTTCTGTTTAAACAAAAAGAAAGGTCTTAACTTTAACATAGTCAAATTGTATATGACAGAACAGTTATCAAGTAAGAACATAGTTACAATATTTTAGCAAGATTTAAAGAAAATATCATCCATCCCATTCTTGTGAGTCCAAAGTTCTATATGTAGCTTATCTTTTATCATAACTAAGGAAAACTATAATTATAACTATCTGTCTTCAACTCCATCAAAGACCACAGAAGGATAATATATAAACACTAGGATTGACAGAGACATCTTACTGTCTGGACAGTCACCCAAAGTTCCTCTGTAACGTTGGGGCATCCATCTTTAGCCCATAGGCCACAATGTGTCTGGAACACTTCTCAGCAAAGCAGGAAATTTCAAACTGTCCATCTGCATTGGCAGTCTGTCAGTCATTTTTCTGTATCCTGTAGAAAGTCTTGAAGCAGGAACCATGTAAGACTGAGTTTAGCAGTCACTTTTCTGTGGGTCCTGCATGTCCAGATTATACAACAACAGTCAGTCTAGGCAAGAGTAGTTTCTTGCCCAAATGGCTAATCTTGCCATGTTGAAAGTAAACTCCATAACAAGTTTCTTCGATGCCCATCTTCCTCTCAGACGTAATTAGTGCTGCCAGCAGCAGACATTTCTCATTGTCAAGAAAAACCCTAAACCATTTTAAATGCCATTTTCTGAAGGTCTTTGAAAGGTTTGAAGACTGTCTATGTCAAATATATTTCTGTATATCTAGAAAACCTAACTTACCTAACTATAAATTCTATTATAAGTAACTATCTATAGTCTGTATTCAATTATGCATTAGGTTTTAAAAGATCAGTATAAGCACAATACTTAATCAAGAGGAGAAATATACATATTACAAAATTGACCTTAAATTTGTATCAATAAATGAAAAACAATACCCGTACCATAATTCCCCTTTTATCCATTAAAAAGAGATTGGCTGTGATCATTAACCAATTATAAACAATCCCATTTAAATGAAAACAAAGATTTATAAACAAGATGGGAATTGGGACATCGCTCATTCCAAACTGCTTCCTGCTGGAAGGGGGCACTGTTCATACCATGGGGATCATGGCAAAACTCAGAAACCTGTATAAGTCCTTATTTTTAGGGTCTGTAAAGCTCCATCATCTTAGCTGTTTCAATTGTTGGAACATCTGATCCACTGCTTCTGGGGGGGGGGGGGTCTTGGTTCATCAAACCACAGAAGCCTGGAAGGAATCCTCAGCTTTTCATTTTCTGTGGAAACATAAACTAAAACTCCTTTTCCAAGTAACGAACGTATCCTTATACTTAAATTTTGAAGTCAAGGCATTTTCAAAAGATAGAAGTTGGATTAATTCAGCAGCATTTACAATCAAGTGTACTTTAGCAGCAGTTCCTTCCTGAGCAATGAAAAAACTGAAAAACACAATAGCGTACAGTATCCAGACTCTTTGTGTATTTTCCATCTTTACGTGGCTTATTTATTTATCTATTATTACTTTATTTATTTTACTTTCATTTATTTTTCTCTAAGACAGGGTTTCTCTTTGGAAATCTGCCTGCCTCTGCCTCTGGAGTAAATCCTACCGGCGTGCGCCACCACAACGCCAGCTTTTGTATTTATATACCACTTTGCCGTTTCATTTTCTCTCTATCTCACGTATATTTTTAAACACACTATAAACCTTTAGAGATTTTCTTCATCCAAGTTGACTTTACTGTAAATCTTTATGTTTTTCTGGCCACGTGTCTTAACTGTAAAACCGCGGCTGTTTTAAACTGCCGGTTTTTCGTCAAGATGGCGGGCATAAGCGTGATTCCAGCTTACCGCCTCAGTCCATGCTGACCTCCAGCAAAAGCTGCCACTTCCAGCTGTACGTATACACCTTTCAATCGTTAGCAGAGTCTCTTTTTTCTTTTCTTTTTTCTTTTTATGCCAAGTCAGGAAGACTCCAGTAAGCGAGCCGCGTGAATCTCGGCTTGTGGCTAGCAAAACAGAGCACACCTGAGAAAAATGCTGCTACCAAAACTCTGTGCTTCTCTCCGTTCTTCTGTTTCTAAAATTCCTTTAAAGCTTTTGTTATTTTGCGTGGAAATTCAATCCCACTCCTGACAACCATTATGTTAAGAGAAGCTTTATCTTGCTAGCTGCTTTGGTTTTTCCCTGCCAGTTGCCTGGGCTCTGCCGCATTGTAGTCCCCAAATAAACACACAAGACGCTGTATTAATTATAAGGCTGTTGGCCTTGTTTGTTTCTTACTGGCTACCTCTGCCTTAAGTAATTACCCCATAATTGTTAATCTAAGTATTTCTCTTACCGGAGAATAGTCCCGGGCTTCCTACCCCCATGGCGTTACATCTCGAACTCTCCTGTGTTTCTCCTTCCCAGAATCCTCCTGGACTCCTAGCCCCACCTATCTAGATTCCTATTGGCCAGCAGTAATTTATTGACATATACACAGGACTTCCCCAACATAGGGGAATTTCAAAATTGTTACTAACAGCTGCCCCCAAGGACAGTTTGTGACGAGAAGATGTTATTTACCAAAATTAGTCATTGCCTGACCATCAGGATGGGGTCACTTTGTCCGGGGTGGGCACAGTTTGGGTGATCCTTGGAAATGTTTATGGTTCCTTGGCTGGAGCTGAATCAGCCCTGTGCCACGAAGGGAATTTCTCAGGGTGACTTTTTCTGAGGATGGAGTTAACTCCGTTCTCTCCAGTGTACCTTGCTCTCACAACCACCATCACCAACAAAACCCCACACAACAACAGCCAAAAAAATTTTTTTTGACAAAACAACTTAAGGAAGGAAATGTTTATTGTGGCTCACAGTTCAAGGGAACACAGTCCATGGTGTTGAGCAGGTAGGCAGCAGGAACGTGAGGCAGCCGGTCACATTGCTCCCAAAATCAAGACGCCCAGAGTGAAGAATACGAGTGCCTAGTTTACCTTTTCTTGTGTGTTTGCTGCGGTATCCCAACCCATGAAAAGGATCCATGCACCTTTAGGCTGGGTTTTCCTACTCCAATCAACCCAGTCTACAAACTACTTCCAGATATACCCAGAGATCTGTGTTCAAGGTGATCCTAGATCCTGCCAAAGTGACAGTCAATATTAACCATTCACCACCGTGCAGGGGAAGACCACTCAAAGGGCATTGCCTCTACCCATCTCTAAGGTCCACCACTGCCCATCCAACCCCCTTCAACCCCCTCCCAGGTACCCTCACTCCTTCACTCCCTTGCCCGGTAGATGCTTTGGCTAGCATAACTGAGTTCCAGATGGGGAAGACCTTGGAGGATATCCTGTCCCACCTCTCCTTACTTCATAAAGAAGGAAACTGAGGCTCAGACAGGTTGCAGAGGGAGTGACTGCCCGTGGGCCACAAGCAGGGCTAACTCCCTTCTAGCCTTGGCGTCTCTCCCTTTGGGTCTTCTCTCCTCTGTTCTTCCCTTCCTGTGCCCCCCCCCCCACTTAAGTACCTTGAGAACGGCTGGGCGGTGGTGTCGCATGCCTTTAATCCCAGCACTCGGGAGGCAGAGGCAGGCGGATGTCTGTGAGTTCAAGGCCGGGCTGGACCCGACAGCCTCAAAACAATACAGAGAAACCCTGTCTCATAAAAACCAAAAAAAAAAAAAAAAAAAAAAAAAAAAAAAAGTACCTTGAGAATGTGAAGTGGAGAGCCAGCACAGGAGAACAATAAGATAAAGTCACAGGTGTGGTAGGAGGGCTCCGGCAGCCAGACCAGAGGCTAGACCAGCCGGCAGAGAGGTGAGGCAAGGGGCAGGGCCCAAGGGCAGGAGGACATGAAGGTGAGCCAGAGAAGAGAGCCTTTATGTGTCTGCCCTGCCTCTCGACCCCGGAGGCACTACCCATTCACCCCAGCACGCCCCACAGACAACGGCCATCACTTCCTCTTCCTCTTCTCCTTTGCCAGTCTGGCATCCTCCGCCTCCTGTTGGTCCTTGCTAAATTTCATATTCTTTTTTCCCAGTGGAGTCTTGAAATACCATTCCTGGGTTAGCAGAGAAGCAGGAATCTATTCAGTCCACTGGACGCAACCCTCCTTTCCCCCTGCAATTTCCTCCCATCATCCTCCCAGACTTGTGGGGAGGGTGTCCCACCACAGCAGGGGCTTCTCCTAGTTTCCAGTAGTTACTTCAGGCAATAGTGCCAGTCATTCTTGAGAGACACATGCCCTCTTCCCTCTACCCCTACAGGCCCTGTGACTCCTAATATCAACCTGCCTCTGGGGATGGTCATCAAATCAACAGTGGCAGCAGCCAGTGCCAGCAGCCCACGTGGCACTCCGTAGCTCCTTTGGTCAGGCTCCCACACCTTGGCGGCTCCCTGGTACTAGTCCCTTTCCCAGCATAAACCCAAGTTTCTTTTACCCTGACCATCTCCTGGCAACAGGAGAACAATGGGAGGAGCCCCAGGCACTCGAAGGCTGACTCGGGCTGGCATTGTTGAGCCCGCTGGCCCGGCCTGGCAGCTTCACCTTTAGGGACTCCTCTTCCTCCCGGTACACTGGGTCCAGCTTTGCCAGGTGCCCCACAAACTCAGAGGCCACCAATGGCCTCTTGGACAGTTGAAGGAGCCGCCGCTCCGTCAGCACTGATTGGATGGCTTGCAGAATGTGACCGGGTGTGTAGCCGTCAGACACCCTAGACAGGGCACTGATGTCCAGACTCTGGATCAGCTCTGTCCCCCGCTTCTCTACCATGCGCTTCCAGAGCACTGCAGGCAGAGTAGAGGATTGTGGGTAAGGGTCAGAGAACAGCAGAAAAGCCAGGCCCACGGTCTCTGGCTGTGTCTAAGCGGCATGTTTCTCCAGGAAGGTATGGGGCCTGGATGGGTAGGGGTGTTCTAGTTACATACCCAGTGTCCCGCCAGCGCCTATGACACTGAGGTCAGGAGCTTGGCTGCGAGTGTGTGGCCTTTCCAGACCTGTTATTTGGAGCTGGAGCTGAGGCTCAGAGCATCAGTGGGGGATGGGGAGAGGGCAAGGGCTCAGAAGGGCCGTGGTCCCTGGGTTCCAGTCCTGGCCTCACCATAACGAGAAGCATAATCTGGCCGAGGTATGAAGAGGATGCGTTCGTAGAACCGGCACAGCCCCTTCAACTCAGCCAGCTGTGGGCGGTCGGTGGTGCCGATCAGCATCACACGGTCACCAGGGCTCAGCTGTTTAGTGGCCTTCATGAGGTCTTTCTTTATTCTCTTTGGGTCCAGCTGTTCCAAGGAGGGAAGGTTGTAGGCTTGAGACAAGGTGGCTGGGCCTGAGACCCGTTTTCTCAGAGCACAAGGTCTAGGCCAGTTCTGAGTGTCAGCGGCCTTTTAAAGCAGGCATGACAAGAACAGAGGACTTAAGAAAGGTGGCTGTTTAGTTTCCAGCGACTTGAGCAGGACTTCCAGCCCTGCCCCATGCTCTGCTTGTCCACCACGCTCCTCACCTTCCTTTCTTCCTTTGGAACCTTCTTATAGAAGGTTTTCTCAGTATTTCCAATCCAGATGACAGAGGGCTGGAAGACCCGGGCCACCTGGAAAGGTTGGAGCATAGAAACCAGATGTCAGACGTCCTGGGCAAGAGTCACATCCGCACCCGGGTCAGACCCCAGCGGCTGACTTGCAATCCCTAGCTTTGTTTGCTTTCCTCTTCCTCCATCTCCTCCCACATTCCCCAACACGGGGGCTTCAGGGGAACCCAGGATCCCACAAGGGCTTCTGGAAAGATGTTAGTACAGGCCCCTGTATCCCAGCACAATATGGGTCACCCCTAAGTATTCAGAAAACCCACGCTGATGTTGTCTCCATCCTGAGACACCAACCCTTGTGCCAAGCTAAAGGTTGCAGACCTTGAAGACAATGTGCACCAGCATCTGTGCCCCATTTTTTCCAGGGTATTTGCCCATCACATTCCCAGGTGACAGGTCAAACAGGTTGGCACCCGTTTCTGTGCACACCGCGTGGACCAACATCTTCTTCCCCATGCCGGAGGGTCCCACCAGGAGGATGGATCGGACATGGGGGGCCATGGAATGTATGTCGTGGGAGCCTGGGAAGAAGTAGACAGGGCTGGGGCAGCCATGGACCAAAATTGGGCAGCGGGATGTAGGAGACCCTGAAAGGTTCTGCCAGGCCTAGGCTGAGAGGGGAGATGCAGATCTGGGCTATGCTACCTCTCCCACACCCCTCCCAGTCTGTTGCAGCAGCCTGCTTAGCAGCCCTGCGTCAGGGAGCTGAGCTGCTTTCTCCAGCACACATTTCTACTCCTGGGCTATGGTGTTGAAAGGCACATGGCATACTGGTTTGGAGAGCTCCTGGTCTCTGGCATTAATAAGTTTTCAGGGATGCTCTTCTGAAAAACAAGACTGACTACAAGATGTCACTTGGGATTGAGCAAGTCATGGACTCATTTGCTCTCTGGGATGTCCCCATCTGAGTGTAACTGCAGAAGAATCTGTGAAGGTCAGGGGAGTCTTATACCCATGAAAGTTACAGAGAATCAGGCTTGCACATTCCCCTCAGCCATGCTCCCCTGGTCCCACCCAGCCCTGGCTTTTCACTCCCCTGGGGTTCTCACCCAACCGAAGAACCCCGTACAAGGCCACATTCTGTCGTATATCAAACAGGGAAGGCATGGGCATCTTGTTTGCCAAAGTCAGTGTGGATCCAAGATACAGGCAGTCACCTGCGGGGGACAGGGAGGGGCCACCTGATGAATGGCATGCCTGTGGATGTCTAAAGGAGAGCTCTGCTGTAGGAAGGGCATCAGGAGGTGGGGCAAGGGTCAGGAGGCCTCCCCTAGGTGCAGAGGCATAGGTGGGGCCTCACCAATGTAGTCATTCAGTGTCACTAGCATGCTCTTCTTTATAAGGCCAATGACAACCAGCTCTTCAAATAGTGAGTCCACAGACCTGATGGAGAGTGGAACAGGAGGACCCCACAGACATTGTGGGAGAGGACAAGGGAAGAGGAAGGAGATGGGGGCACTGTAGGCTCAAGAAGAGGGGACAAGGGGTCCTCTGGTAACATTTTGTAATCAGAAATGTCAACGGAACAGTTGGGTGATGGTGGCACACGCCTTTAATCCCAGCGCTGGGGAGGCAGAGGCTGGTGGATCTCCGTGAGTTTGAGGCCAGCGTGGTCTACAGATTGAGTTCTAGGACAACTAGGGTGGTTACACAGAGAAGCCCTGTCTCAAAAAACCAAAAAGAAATGTCAACTGAGCTTCTGGACAGCCAGAATCAGAAGATGAGGTCCCGGCCACCGTCAGGGGTCAGGTACTCCACAGTGAGTGGCATGTGGAAGGCAGTAGAAGCCAACGCCCCCTGTGACAAATGCCCACCAGTCTTTCATGTCCACAATCTGAAATTTGGGTTCAGCACAGCCCGCTTTCTCTCTCCCTAAGCAGAGCGTAGGTGAACCTCCTTGTGAGTTGTGGTCCTCAAGCAGCTGGCGTTATCAGGTAGAAGGCTTTTGGCATGTTCTTTGGTGCCCCCAGTGTGGTTAATACAGGCACAGTTTGAAAGAATAGAGCCGACCAAAGGTTGGAGGAATAATATGTATGATGACTGTAAACTCCATGTGTGTTGTTCTGCTTTGTCAATGTGTTATCTGTGTGATGTCTATTTGGTATATAATCGTGTGAGTGTGGGTGTGTGCATACGTGCATGCGTGTGAGCATGCATGCATGCTGAAGTCCGTGTTAACACCAGGCTGCCTTTCCTTGATTGCTCGACCTCTCCCTTTACTCTTTGAGACAGGGTCTCTTACTCTCAGTTTGAAAGCCCATTAACTTTGCTTGACTAGCGAGCCAATGAGCTTCAGGGATACACTTGTCCACACCCCCAAACAGCTCCTCCCTTGATTCACAAGCCGGCAACCACCACATCCAACTTTTTTGATGTTGTTTGTTTGGTTTTGGTTTTTTGAGACAGTATTTCTCTGTGTAATCCTGGCTGTCCTCGAACTCACAAGAGATCTGCCTGCCTCTGCCTACTGAGTGCTGGGGTTAAAGCTGTGTGCCATCACAGGTGTTTTCATTTTTAAAGGCACTTGGTGGAAAGGTTAGGGGTACAGGGGGGCAAAGTAACTTCCCTAATGCCACACAGCAACAGAACCAAGCCCAGAAACCAGGGTTTCCATCCTGGATCCCCACCCCCACAGTGCAGCAGGGTCTGCTCGCTACCTGTCTGGGGTCAGGTCTTTCTCCTTCCTCTTCTTCCCACTCTTCTTCCCAGCTTTTTTCTGGAGGACGACGAGTATACCGGTGATGGCTTTCTGTTCCTTCTCACCCCCAGGTGCCCTCCCCTCCCCAGCCTTCTGCCCTCATCTGCCTTTGGAGCCTTCAGGGACCTGCCCTCCTCCTTGTCCACCGCCAGGCGCAAACTCTTCAGCTCCTGCCGCATCAGCTCGTCCACCTGGGCACACGGCAGGGGGCGGGCGGGCGGGCAGAACAGGTGAGAAATGGGCGGGGAGGAAGAGGAGCCTAGGGAAAGTCTGGGTAGGAGGACAGGAGAAGACAGCCCCAAGGCTTTCCATAGAGAGTGACAGGTCTCCTCCCGTCACCGCTCCTGTCCACACCAGAATGAATCCACATTTTGTTCTCCCTGACACAAGAAGTCACCCTCACCAGCCGTTAACATGGGATGGAGTCCACACAATAGAGTTGGAGCCAGAAACCCACCCTTTAAAATCTCTGGGACCTAAGCAGATGTAGGCTATGTGGGCTGCTGGAAGCCATGGTCCCACCAAGGACGGGACTGGAGGATGACGTATCCTTTCCCACAGTGGTACCGTCGTGAGGTGTGGGGAGGGGACATGCCCAATCTGACTATGGCTCTGGGCCCCTCCCCCTGAGAGGAAAGGGGACATGGGGGAAGCTGGGGACAGTGTAGGTAGAGCCTGGCCCGTGTACAGAGAAGAGAGGTTCGCAGCGGACTGGCAGGATGCCCAGGGTGGGGAACTGGAGGGCATGAGTGGAGAGGTTCCGAGGCGGCTAGGCATTCCGGAGGTGTCGGGAGGAGCGGCTTTCGGGAAGCCTCAGGCCGCGCCGCACACCTGTGCCCGGATCTCCAGCTCCACTTCCTTCCTCTTCTCTTCCCGGAGGGTCTCGGAGTCAAAGTTCTGGCTGGGGTGTTTGTTGTCAACGCGGCTCTTCCAGAAACCTGACCACACAGAGAAGAGGTCAGAGAGCGAGAGAGAGTGAGAGACAGAGACAGAGAGAGAGAGACAGAGAGACGGGGGGGGGCGTGTGGCTCCTAGCTCGCCTCCTGTCCTTGCTGGCTGCCCTAGGCTTGACTTCAGAAGGAAGCCAGCAGCATTCCCACCCAGGCAACCGTCACACCCTTCACATCTTGCCTTTCACCCGCCATTGTCACACCTCAGCAGGGCCCTGAGATACTGCAGCATCCCAGGCTCAGCGTAGCCCCTGCCCTGTCCCTTCTTACTTGTGTATTCGTCGTGGCCAGCGTTGATTATGGGGATGGATTTGGATGGCAACACTTTGAATGTCACATCTGGTTCCTAGGATGGAAGCGTGAGCCAGACCTTTCCTCCTGGCCTACAGAGAGCTGGGAGGTCCTCCCTGGAAGCTGTCTGTGAAGATGGTTCAGGCTCTCCCTCCCGCCCACTGGCTCCTCTGCTGGGAGCTAGCTAACCTTCCTGGCCTTTTCATCCTTGATTTTCTTTTTCTTCTCCTTTTTTTCCTTCTCTTTCTCCTTATTCTTCTCTTGTTCCTTCTTTTTATTCTCCTGGGCCTGCATTTCCAGTTCTATTCTCACCTGGATCCAACAACAAGCAGTGTTCTGGAGGCTGAGGGGATTTCACACAAGTGGGAGAACCCAAGCAGGCATTGTGGTGTCTCACACCTGGAGTCCCAGCATTCAGGAGGCAGAGGCAGGTGGATCTCACGCTGTGAGTTCAAGACCAGCCTGGGCTACACAGTGAAACTCTGTCTTGAAAATCAAAACAAAACAGGAGGAACACAAAGTCTAGGCTCTCTCCACCTGCAGAAACTGCCAGGGTAGAGACAGCTGAGTGTTCAGAAATGGCACGGGGCGGGGAGGTCAAACAAGAAAACGATGCTGAGAACACCGTTCTCATCAGAGCTCTTGCCCACTTCCAGGACCATGTGACCCGGGAGCCTTAATGCTCTCTTCAGGGCCATGGCTGCCTTTAGTCCCATGCAGTCTCTTTAGCCATTCATCTCTCCTCTGGCCACAGCTATCTCTGTTTAGGCAGACACTTCCCCAGCTCACATTCACTGTGGTCTGTAACCCTAGGCTGGAGCTGTCCCTATCTCAAGAGTACCTGCTCTGGAGTCTTGTCTGCAAAGATCAGGTAAGATCCACCAGAAGCCTCATCTGGATAATCAGGGAACCGGCCAGTAAGGGCACTGAGTGGATACAATGTAGTTAGATAAATGAGTGAATAGATGGGTGGGTGGAGGGATGGGTGGGTGGGGGATGGATGGAGGGATGGGTAGGTGGAGGGATGGGTGGGTGGAGGGGTAGGCAGATAGGGACATAGAAGGTATGGCTGGACAGAAGGAAGGATAAGCAGATGGATAGAAGGTATGGCTGGACAGAAGGAAGGATAAGCAGATGGAAGGGCAAAGAGATTTGGGCTTGAAGAAAGAGTAGTAGGGAGTTGTTAGATGGGAAGGGCTGCCGGCTAAGGGCCATTCACTGTACTCTTCCTATTTTGTCTGGCACCTTCTCTTCTCTCAGGAAAACAGGAAGTCAGACGTGGTGCTGGTTCTTACATTGGGCTCAAGGGCTAGACCGAGAGTGTTGGAGAGGGGTGAGAGTTGATGGAGAGGGGTGAGAGTTGATTGAGAGGGGTGAGAGTTGATGGAGAGGGGTGAGAGTTGATGGAGAGGGGTGGGTGAGAGATGATGGAGAGGGGTGAGAGATGATGGAGAGGGGTGAGATATGATGGAGAGGGGTGAGAGATGATGGAGAGGGGTGAGAGTTGATGGAGAGGGGTGAGAGTTGATGGAGAGGGGTGGGTGAGAGTGTTGGAGAGGGGTGAGAGTTGATGGAGAGGGGTGAGAGTTGATGGAGAGGGGTGGGTGAGAGTGTTGGAGAGGGGTGAGAGTTGATGGAGAAGGGGACAATTTCACCAGAGAGAAGAGTCTGGGGAATGAGGTGGCTGCTGTTCTGGGGACAGTGGAATGAGAAGGGGTGAGGCATAGAATGTTGGGTCAGCTGCGGCTGTGGATACTGACTGGCATTCAATAAACCACTGTCGAATTTGATCCTTCATCTTCTCTTTCATGTCAGGTCCCTCGGTCTCTGTGAGAGAACTGTGGGTCTTCCCTATGGCATCTTGGAATTCCTCTTCCTTTTCTACCTGCCGGATCCTCCGTGACTCCTCCCCCAGGAAGGCCTGGTTAAGGATGCTCAGGTGTTCTGTCTGGTTGGGCGAGGGGAGCTAGGGGAGGTGGAGAGAGGCCAGGGGGCTCAGGATTTTACATGGGATGGCCCAACCCCCATGTTTACACACACCTGCCCCCACTTAGTCCCCAACACAGCATACATTTGCCCAACCCTTGTGCACACGCTCCCAGGAACAACGGGCATGCCTGCATCAGGAGAAATTGTGTTTGGAGCTGAAATTTGTCTGTGTAAATTACCCTGGTAATGAGTTTGCTAGATGCATCCGGGCTGCCCCCCCCAGCAACCCTCCCCCATGAGCCTGGGGCCCCAGCCCCCATGCATGCCCCACCCGGCGGCGGCCGAGTTGGCAGCCGCTCTCACAGCCACTTTCCCGCCTCATTGGCTCCCAAATGTATTTTAAATATCACTCTGTGCAGAGACAATTACTGAAAACGCTGAGCTCACACTGTTGATGGGCCCGGGCGGCCAGGCTCATTCCTCACCCACTGCTGCTGCCCCCACCCTGCTCTCCCTCCTGGGGGTCCCATTCTGCAGCCTCTTAGCAAATCTTTGACCTCTACTCATACACAGCAACTCCCTAGTAGTCATCCAGCCTGCACCCCGGAAAAGCCTTCCTTCTACTCCCTCTGGCCTTGGCTCTGCTCCCTCCTCCCACCCCTCTGCCAGCCAGGTCTCCACAGGATCTATTCAGGGCAAATCTCCTCTCCCCAGTCAGTGCGTGACCCTAGCCCTGTCAGAGACTGGATGAGGGAAGAGTTTGAGAGCAGAGGACCCTTTAAGAGAATGGGCTGCTCACTCCAACTAGACACATACATGTGCAACATACAGGGGTCTCAGCCCCTTCCTGGTGCATGCCCCCATGTGCAATCACACTCAGCAGAGCAGAGAAGCTCATCTGGGTGCCCACAGCAAGTGGGGGGCCTGTGACCTCACAAGTCCTGGCTTAGGGGTCTATTTCTACCCCAGCATGGCTTCCAGTGGTTCCCTGAGACTAGAAGAAGCCTGAGGGGTGCCATGGGGTGCTCCTGCTGGACCCATCCCTGCAGCCTCTCCTTCCAGCTAGGGCAGGGATGCAAGGTTCAGGATGCTCTGTGCCACTGTTTCCTGCCCCTGTCCCGACATTTGAGATCCTGTGGGACAACTGGAAAAGCCCAGTGAGTTCCCTGTCCTTATGCTTCTTTCTTCCCCAAGGTCTACTGCCCTACCTCAGTGGATCCTGGGACAGCGGTGCAGAGGATGGGGATGGGGAAGCAGGAGCCCCGTGTGGGCCAGGGAGGGCTCACCATGCCAATGAACTCCATCTCCAAGCGCCGATCCTGTTCAATGCGCTTCCTCTGCAGGTAACCTTTCCACACCTGGGGGCGGGGACACATGTCACTTAGATGCTCTCCAGGCCATGCAACCTCAGGCCTGAGGGGAGCAGCAGGGGTGCCCCCTGCTGACTGATATCTCCTAAGGTTTTGGTCCTTGAGGTTAGGGTGGGAATGGAGAAAGGAGGGTGGTGGACACCCCGCAACGGAGTTACAGATGGTTGTGAGCTGCCATGTGGGTGCTGAGAACCAAACTCAGATCCTTTGCAAGAGCAGCCGGTGCTCTTAACCTTCCCAGCCTCTCCCAACAGTTTTGACATAAGGGAACTGGGCTAGAGATGAGAGACAACCTCTCTAGGACCTAGGAACAGAGTGAACCAGGGTGCTTTCCTGGGTGCCAGGCATATCTATCCCAAGACACCTTGGGCTTATTGATAGGTAAGTCCTGGTTTTAGCATCAAGCTGTGGACCATGGATTTGAGGCACCTTCACTTCTGGGATTAGTTATTGAGCTCTTACTAGGAGAGAGGAGTCTTTCTCTCTGTTCCACCCCCTCTCTGTCACCCAGGGCTACCTTCTGTATGACAATGGCTCCCTGATCCTGACTGATTTTCTGTCGCCCATTCTCCCGAATCTTCCTGTCCCGTTCCTCCTCTTTCCGAATCTCTCGCATGAAGGTGGCTCGTAGTCGGCCCTGCCTGGCCCGCTCAGCACTTTGCACTATAATTAGGGCCTCAGTCCGGCTCATTCCTCGGAAATTCTGGTCATAACAGGGACAAAAGATGAGGAAAACATGAGGGAGAGATTGTACCCAGGCTGGGCAGCTGAGAGATCAGTCGCCAAGGATGTATTCCCAGTATGCAGTCCTAGGTGATGGAGTTTTGACCTGCAAGGTGCTGGAGGGGTCCAGGGAATACAAAGGCAGTCTTGGAGGAGGCTGGGGATTGCCAAGGAGTACTCTGAAGTGGGACTAGGGCAGGGCAGAGCCTGTCTATCCTGGGGAAAGGAGAACTCCTGGCAGTTTTCCCCCACTTACAGTAAGCATCCTGGCAAGAATAGAGATGTTCAGAAGAGACACTTGTCACCCCCTCGTTGGCTGTCAGATGACTGAGACAATGAACCCCAAGGAACTGGAATTTCCCCCAGAAAGATCATGGGAGGAAAAGGAAAGCACTGGAAGCCTGCTGTCAGCCCAAGGGTGAACATGTCCCACAGAAAGAGATACTTAAAGTTGTAACAATTGCTAGCCACCTTGCAGGAGGGCCTGGAGTCCAGACAATGGTGGGATTTTGAGGGTATTGCTTAGTTACTCATATTTCTGGCCTTCTATTTAAACCTAACCCTGGTGTTACAACCCTGAAGATGAACTTGGAATCACTACTCTTCCCAAGGTAACCACATTGAATACACCACTATAAATCTAACTAGCCCGTGGAAGGCACACAGCTGAACCTACCTACTTTGTTATGGTTTCCAGGACTCAGGTGCTGACCTAAATGACTCTAGCAACGTTACCTCCTGAGACATCAGTGGCTCCAGCCTGGCCAGGATGTCGGCCAGCATCTGCTGTCGTGCCTTCATAGCGCTGGACTGCTCCAGCTGAAAGTATTTAGGGATGGGGACCTCCAGGTCTGCCTTTAGCACAATATTGGGAGAAGGAGGGTCAGGAATTAGAAACCCAGGTCCTCTTGTCATCTGCTGGGCTTCCAGCCACATCTATACTCCCTGACACCATGTCTCTCCCCTCTGAGGCCTGGGATGCGACCCTTAAGGATGCTAGTTTATGCCCTGAGTAACCCCTTTCTTATCCTGACCCACATCTGACTGAGATGAATTCTGAGCCATACTTTTTTTTTCCAGACTCGGTTTCTCTGTGTAACAGCCCTAACTGTCCTGGAACTCACTTTGTAGACCAAGCTGACCTCGAACTCAATGAGATCCACCTGCCTCTGCCTCCCACGTGCTGGGACTAAAGGTGTGTGCCACCACTGCCCTGCTAAGGGACAATGCTTTGAGAAACAAGCCTTCATAAGATCCTCCTCATCCACCCTCTGAGGTTCCCAGGCCTTCTCAGCCGTAATGTGAAGCCAACACTTCAAAAGCCCCTCGGTTCCTGAGAGTCTAAGCTTAACCCTCATCCACCTGCTCCCTGATAGAATTGCCTCTAGCCAAGGCCCTCCCAGTCCCCACCCTCCAAACCCCACCCCGCCTCAGGTGGCTGCTTACGCACTGGGGTCAGTTTGAGATCCTGCAGCACTCGGTCCAGGCAGTGGGTCTCGCACAGGTCAACGCGCACCAGCTCATCCTTGAGCTCCAGCACACGGCCCGCCACCCCGTCCAGCAGGCGACGCAGCAGCCGGCGCTTCTGTGGCTGCACCATCTGGTCGTAGGCCGTGTCGAAGCGGCGCAGCAGCCCCAGGTAGTACAGGTAGTGCACCGAGAGTCTGTACTGGAAGCTCTGCCGCTCCCGGCTGGGCACGGGTTCCAGTAGAGAGGGTTCTTTCTCCAGCACCTCTTCCAGAGTCGCATGGGAGTCCTCCCAGAGGCGTTGGTAAGCTCTAGGGAGAGTGCACTAGCTGTCCCTCACCAGCACCTCAGGGGGTACAGAGACAGAGCTGCTGCCTTTGGGGGACTGTGAACTTGGGATCCAGAGGGAGGGACGTTCTTCGTGGTGTCAAAGTGAACTTGAGAGAAGTGAGGGCCCACTAGGCAATGAGTGGGCACAGGTCTGGCTTGGAGGGCTTGAGAGTCTGGGAAGTCTATAGCCTGAGCCTGGGTGTTCCTGTGAGGAGGGGAGTCTAGAAGCAGGGAGTCCTTTGTACTGAAAAGTACTGCCCCTCCTACTATGCAGTAAAGGTCTGGAGTTGTGGGTGAGGCCTGAGTAGAGAGATGTTATCAGTTCCACAGAGCCAGGCAAAGTCTGCTGACTGAAAGTCAGTCCCAGGCAGGCACAACCAGGGGCCAGGGGAATGCACAAACCCACCCAGGGCCTGCCAGCACCCAGCTCCTCCCTCTGCCTGGGTTTCTCAGGTCCAGTGAGGTCTTTGCTCTTTGTCCCCTTTAGCCCTCAACTCACCCTTCAGACATGGTGTCCACACCCCCTCGATGCCCTCTGCCAGGGGCAGAACAGTCTGGCTTGAAGAGTTCTGACCCCATTGTACCTGTGTTCTAAAGCTAAGGGTGGGGCTCGAGAGGGCAGGATCGGGGACACTTGTCTAGGAAGACACTCCGAGGCTGCACACGGAAGGTCCTTGAGCAGTGGCTGTAGAAATGTCAGGGCACAGTGTGCAACCATTGACACTTTTTCTTGTGCCTACCAATAAAGTAACAGTCTGCATTTGATGCCACCTGTGAGTTTGGGAGGGGTGTGCGAGGTTGGCAGGGCAAGTATATGTTCCAAAGTCACCCCAACTTCATCCCCTCATGTGGAGTAAACTTCTGGTGGGATTTTATTATGGTTTCAACCCATCTCCCCTCCTCAGCCTCCCGCGTAGCTGGAGAGATGGCTCAGAGGTTAAGAGCACTGCTTGCTCTTCCAGAGGTCCTGAGTTCAATTCCCAGCAACCACATGGTGGCTCACAACCATCTATAATGAGATCTGGTGCCCTCTTCTGGAGTGCAGACACACATGGAGGCAGGATGTTGTATTCATAATAAATAAATCTTTGAAAAAAAAAAAAAGAAGACTCTGGCTTATGGTTGCAGAGAGCTAGAGTCCACAATGGTAGGTCAGAGACTGCAGGCAGGCACGCAACTGCAGGGTACTGAGAGCCCACATCTTTAACCTCAAGCACAAAGCCAACAGAGGAAACTGCAAGTGGGACACGGCCTTCTGTTCTCAAAACCCACACAGTGACACACTTCCTCCAGCAATGCCACACTTCCTACCCCCCCGACAGTGCCACCACCTAAGGGCCAAATATTCAAATGCAGTAGACCAAGAGACATCTCATTCAACCGCCTCATACACAATGGCCGTCCTCTTCTGTGTGGTGGGGTTGAGTATGGAGTAGAACCAGGGCCCAATGTATGATAAGCACGCATTCTGCCCGAGCTGCCGCCCGCCTCAGCCTGTTCTTTACTCTTGTGGTGACCCAGCTGAGAAGTCTGTATGGCAGCAGCAGGCAGAGGTATTGGACTGTGGTAGGAAAGTCCTGAACTCACTCACTTGCCTTGCTTAGACTGGGGTGTGTGCGGCACTTTTCTGCCTCAGTATTAAGCAGGGGCAAGAAGGAAGGGAGGAGGGATGGGGGAAACAGGAAGGAAGAAGGCAGGCAGGAAGAGAGGAGGGAAGGAAAGGAGGGAGGGCTGAGGAGGAAGCAGCTGGAGGGTGTTGTTTAGATGGGCTTTTCTATTGCTGGGACAGAACGAACTGGCTGACCCTGCGTGGGTTCAGGGCTGAGCTGTGCTCCTCACTCCTCCTGTCTCCCAGGGGACCTGCTGCTGCTGGTGCATGATCAAACCTTCAGCATCCAGGTGGCAAGCAAGTGGTGAGGCGGGGCAGAGTGAGGCTAAGGCAAGATCTCCTGGGCCTGGGTCTCTGCGTTTCCTCTGCAGCCGTGGAACCCAAGTGTGGATGGCTGATTCTCAGCTTGTGACATCTCGACAGGAATCTTGAGACATGAGTAGATATCTGTGAAGTAAGTGGCATGTCAGCCATCATCTCAGGGTGGATCCTTTTTTGACAAGACTGGTCTACCTGCCACAAAGCGAACACAGAGAGTCCCCTGCTCTGCTCACTGTCTCCAAACTCAGAGGAGAATAGGTGGGCCTTCAGGGAACCTGTGAAAGACAAAACATGTATGCAGCAAGCAGGGGTTCAGGCAGAGGACAGGTTAGTGGAGGCTATAACTGCAATTGTGTGTGTGTGTGTGTGAATGTTTTTCAAATGTCTCAAGACACAAAGAAAATTTAGGAATCTCACAAACATCTTAAGTCAAGAGGGGAGAAATTATTAAAAAATATTAGAGGAAAGTTAAAAATCTAACAAGGTGGGCATGGTGATTGCATACCTCTAAAATCCAAGCACTCAGAAGGCAGAGGCAGGTGGATCTGTGAGTTCAAGTCCAGCCTGATCTACATAGTGAGTTCCAGGCCTGTTAAGACTTCACAGTGAGACTTACCTAAATAAGTAAAATAGTGCTTTGTTTGTTTGTTTGTTTGGTTGGTTTTTGAGACAGAGTTTCTTTCTAGGTTTGGAGCCTTTTATGGAACTCTCTCTGTAGTCCAGGATGACCTGGAACTCACAGAGATCCACCTGCCTCTGCCTCCCAAGTGCTGGGATTCAAGGCATGTACCACCACTGCCCAGCGAGATAGTGTGTTTTTTTTAAGTTATTTAGGATAGCAGTTATTTAGAAATTGGTCTAACCTATAGTTTACATACACATGAACTGTTTTGTATGTGCTAATTCATTTTGAGCTAGAGTTACATACAGATGTGAGCTACCACTCCTGTTTTCATATCTTGAAGAGTAGATCTGCAGACTGGGGCTTCAGCTCAGTGAATGGAGTTCTTGCCTGGCATGCATATCGCCCTGTACTGAAAAAACATAGCTCCATGGTGCACACCTGTGATCTCAGCTTCAGGGAGGTGGCTGGAGGTCAGAGTTCAAGGCTACACAAATCCCAGCACTTAGGAAGCAGAGGCAGGTGGATCTCTATGAGTTCCAAGCCAGCCTGGTCTACAGAACAAGTTCCAGGACAGCCAGGGCTACAGAGAAACCCTGTCTCGAAAATCCAAATGAAAAAAGAAACTATAACTCAAACAGAACAAAACATAATAGGAGTTATATGAGGCTGTGAGTTCAATCACCTTCTCCCTTTCCCCACACAACAAACAAATAAATAAATCTGCATTGTGCTGTCTCCCAGCACGGTGCTGCTACACAGAGTACAATGACATGGATGAGAGTTGATGGCACAAACCCATTGTCTTAGGGTAACATCCCCAGGGATTGTGGGTCCAGAAACAGAAACAGCATAAATGCAGCCCTCTGGTCCTGTTTCAGCTCACTGTGTTACAACAGTCATTCACTTAAAAAGCACTGTCACCTGTCACTAATGGCATGTCTCCAGATAGCACTTTTTTTGTTTTGTTTTCGAGACAGGGCATCTCTGTATTGCTTTGGAGGCTGTCCTGGAACTCACTCTGTAGACCAGGCTGGTCTGGAACTCACAGAGATCCGCCTGCCTCCGCCTCCCGAGTGCTGGGATTAAAGGCGTGCGCCACCAACACCCGGCCAGATAGCACTTTTTATAAAGTGTGATTCCATCTGTGGTAGCTTCAAACACTGATGACACTGTTGCCCCAGACAGTACTCTTGTTCAAGACAAACCTTTTCAAATCACCACTGTTCATGGGAACATATGTCACTTGGAGCTGGTGTACTAGGTGACACTCTCGGTGCCCTCTGACAGTGTGCTTGGCCAGCTCTCCAGGCAACAACAGACACAGCTGTCTGGACTTTCCAGTAAGTTAGAGTGCTTCGGGGCCAGGCGTTGGTGGCGCACGCCTTTAATCCCAGCACCCGGGAGGCAGAGGCAGGTGGATCTCTGTGAATTCGAGGCCAGCCTGGTCTACAGAGCTAGTTCCAGGACAGCCTCCAAAACAATACGGAGAAACCCTGTCTCGAAAAACAAAACAAAAAAAAAAATAATTTATTAGCTCAACATGAGTCTGTAAATCCAATTTTTTTAATTTTTATTTATTTTTATTTCATGTGCTTTGGTGTTTATGCCTGCATGTATGTCTGTATGAGGTTGTCGGATCCCCTGGAACTGAAGTTACAGACAATTGTAAGCTGTCTTGTGGGTGCTGGGGATTGAACCTGGGTCCTCTGGAAAAACAGCCAGTGCTCTTAACTGCTGAGTCATCTCCCTAGCCCCCAGTTTTTGTTTTTGTTTTGTTTTTACTCTGGTGTGTGTGTGTGTGTGTGTGTGTGTGTGTGTGTGTGTGTGTGTGTGTGTGTGTGTATTCTAGTTACCAAACAAGTCATCAGGATTGGAAGCAAGTGCCTTTACCCTCGAGCCATGTCGATGGCCCTGTACACAAAGTTTAAATGAAGTTTATCTGACTGCAAGGTGATGCTGTTCCTTGTAGTTTAGCATCTTCAGCTAACACATGGGCAGTTACACATGCATCTTTCGTTCTTTCCTATTTGTGTGTGAGTGGGTATGGGTCAGGGCTTAACATTATCTTTTTAAATTATTTTTCACCTATTTTTTTCCTCTTTTTTATGTGTATGAGTGTTTTGTCTGAATGTGTATCTGTGTACCACTTGTGTACAGTGTCCAAGGAAGCTAGAAGAGGGCATCAGATTCCTTTGGTCTAGAGTTGGAAAAGTTTTGAACTGCTTTGTGGATGCCAGGAACTGCCCTTAACTGCCAAGTCATCTCCCCATCTTATTTAAATTTGACAAATGTATTTATTTATATATCCAATGTCCCAGTCACAATATATATATATATATATATTTTTTTTTTTTTTGGTTTTTTCGAGACAGGGTTTCTCTGTAGCTTTGGAGGCTGTCATGGAACTCACTTTATAGACCAAGCTGGCCTCGAACTCACAGAAATCCGCCTGCCTCTGCCTCCCGAGTGCTGGGATTAAAGGCGTGCACCACCAACGCCCAGCTCCCAGTCACAATATTTTATCACTCTAGGATGTTCCTTTATGGTCTTCCCAATTTCCCTCCTCATCTAAGGCAATTATTCTTACCTCCACAGTGGAGTTTTAGCATATATGATTTCATACAAATGAACTCATATTGCATATATTCTTTTGTGTGGGATATTCTCTTGATTGCTAGTTGATGTAGGAGGGTCCCGCCAACTATAGGTAATACTATCCCTAGGCAGGGGGGCCTGGGATGTCGAAGGAAGCCAACTGAACTTGAATCTGAGAGCAAGCCAGTGAGCAGTATTTCTTTATTTGTGACAGAAGCAGCAAGATGCAGGGGCAGAGAGACAGAACAGTGAGACACGAGTGCTCAGGCCTGGGAGAAGGTGCAGAAGTTAACAGTGCTTGTTGGAGGCTCTTGCTGAGGACCCGTGTTCAGTTCCTGGTACCAGCGGCAGCTCCAGCTGTCTGTGACTTCATTTCTCATCCATGTTACCGTATCCCGTGTA